GGTTGAAACATCCAGCTTCTGCCACTCCACGTGGTTGGAAAGCAAAATTTACCAAAGTTTACAGACGATCCCATTGTATGAAAAAAATACTGCAACAATAACTAAATACTAATACTAAATCCAATAAAAAAAATACAGGGAACATGACAGCTGGGGTCAATAAAGGGGTAGCCTGTTGAGCTCATCTGATGATCTGGTTGTGGGGGGTTGGGACTCCAAGGCAACCACTGATCTAGGCTGTGTATATGTCAATGGGTGAGCACTCTACCTCATGTGCTATAAATGTGCAAATGTCTTGGCAGTAACACTGCAGGGTTTTGAGACTAAACTGAAACATAAACCTTCATGTACACTGCTGAGTATCATTCCTCACTGTGCAAAATTCTGCACAAAATCTTCACATGCTCCACTCACCCTGCATTTATTTCCCCACTTTCAAGTTGGAGATCTTTAACTCAGATTTGGCACCTCTCCTCGTCAGTCTTAACACACACTTCACGACCGAATTCCTCATCTGCAAATGTGAACCATCTGTGCTCCTTATGGCCCCTGCAGCACAAGGCGCGTTAATGAGAGAATAGTAAATTACAGTTGAGCTGCATGATGATGGCGTTCCTACTGTAGAGTGCAGACTGGGCTGTTGATGTGTTGATTGTAGCTTTACTTACTTTATTGTTCGGTTTTAATGTCCTATGACTAGCACACGTCCCTGTTCACTGGGCTACAGCTGTTTTATGAATTATGAAATCATTTTCATATCTTATCAAAAACCAATGACAATATGAAGTTAAGCGTTCTGTTAAGCTTGTTTCATGACTGACTCTGGTTGGGTCTGTCTGCACCCAGTTGCGAGGGACTCCATGACTTCGGGGTTCTCTTGGGATTCTGTGGGAAGGAAATCTTCCTGTCTGCTTTGTCCATACCAGGGATCCGATCCAGATCTCAGACCCCCGGTGGCTGCGGGGGCGCGCAGAAAACTCGGTCAAAGGGTTTCTCAATCTCCCTCTCCCACTGTAGAGACTCGTGTGTGTGTATTTGATTACCTGCGTGCACGCGCAAAGTTCTGGATCTCGTGCGTCAAGACTTGTGCACATCTGTTTTTGGCAGGGTCGCCGAGTTGCGGGGGAGGGGCTACTTCAGTGTGTGTGTGTGTGTGTGTGTGCGTGTGTGTGAGCACGCTCTGCGCCTGAACTCTACTTTTTTGCGGAACTCTGTAATTCGCAGCAGATGACCACTTGGGGGGATGCAGGCTTTACTGGGGATGTGAGCTTTTCCTCAGACAGCATCAGAGCGCACACAAATTAATTTGCTTTATAGGTGATGCTGCTGAGTGATGGAGCCGTCTACTTGATGCGTGCAGCACTTCTCTCTCCACTTTTCACAGCAACAAGTGGATTATGGACGGGTCGATCTCCAGCGTGAGAGAGGAGAGGGGCGACTGCACCTGAACTACACAAAGCGAATGCCGCATCAGTCTCTGGCTGTGCTGTGGGAATGGATACCAGCAATTTCCTGGCGGGGATATGCTTTTTCCTGCTGGCGCTCAATGGGTTCATCTCTTCCTCGCCGGCGACAAGCTTTTGTCCCGACCGCTGTGACTGTCAACACCCGCAGCACCTCATGTGCAGCAACCGCGGGTTGCGCACTGTGCCCAAATCCGCCGCGCGGGTGTCCGAGGAGGTGCTGATCTTCAGCCTCGGGGGTAACTACATAGGTAACATCTCTGCTTTCGACTTCACGCGGTACAGTAACCTCATTAGATTGAATTTACAGTACAATCAAATACAAAGCATTCAGCCAAAAGCATTCGAGAAACTCTCCAAGTTGGAAGAGCTGTACCTGGGACATAATCTTTTATCAAACCTACCCGCTGGGACTTTACAACCCCTGAAGAAATTATCTATTCTCTATGGAAATAATAATGACATTAAGAAAATCACACCGGAGCTCTTTGCCAACTTAGACACTCTTGTTAAATTGCGTCTCGACGGCAATTCAATAGAAGTTCTGCAGGACTCTGTTTTTAAAAGTTTAACCAGTCTACATTATCTCCACCTGGAATCCAACAAACTGCAGCATATTCACAGAAACGCTTTCTCTAAACTCACCAACCTGCGCTTTCTAAACTTGGCACACAACAAGTTGTCAGCCGTGCGCAATGCCCTCACTTTTTCCCAACTCAAAGCTTTGACCACTTTGCTGCTGTCTGAAAATGAAATCCAGGACGTCGGAAACCACGTCTTCCAAAATCTGAAAAAGCTGTCTAAACTGTCCCTCAGCAACAACAGAATCTCTCGCTTGGACAGTGGGGCTCTGAAGGGGCTGTCGAGCCTCAGAGAGTTTCTGATTGAAGGCAACGAGCTGGAGGAAATCCCCGCCGGTCTCCTCGACTCCCTGGAGCGCATCGAAGAGCTTGACTTCAGTCGCAACCGGATTTCCCATGTGGACGCTTTGGCTTTTTCGCGACTTAAACATTTAAGAGTGCTGAAGCTGAAGAACAACATGCTCACCAGCCTGTCCGGTGACCTTTTTGCCCTTAACAATGTGCTTTACGACTTGGATCTCCATGGCAACAACTGGACGTGCGACTGTCGTCTGGAAGAACTGAAAAGATGGATGACTGCTGCGCATTCTCAGGGCAGATTGTTGACTGTTTTTGTGCAGTGTCATCACCCAGTAACTCTGAGGGGGAAATATCTGGACTATGTGAACAGCTCCCAGCTTCAGCCCCTGGGGAACTGGACCCACTTGTGCAGGAGCCAAGCTGGGCCTGAGGAGAGCCGGGGAGGTGGGGTGTTGGTAAAGGTGGAGGGACAAGAGATAGGTGCAATAAGGCAGGAGGTGAAGGGGGAAGAAGGCCAAGTGGAGGAGACAGAAGGTATAGATTTGAGACAAGGGGACACGGGTGGGGTGATAATCAAGAAAGAGGGAGAGAAAAGTAGGAAAGAGGGACAGGAGGAGGTGGGAATCCAGGGAGACCAAGGGGGTTCAGTGGTGGCAGCACCCTCTTCTTCACTGGAAAGAAAGAAACCAAAGAAGGAGTCGCTCAGCCCAAGGTCACGACCTGCTGCAGTGGCAGCTGGGAAACGCGCAAAAGGGAGACGTAGGTCAAATGTTATCTCCAGAACTGATGCACCAGCTGTTTCCACACCAAGTCTTACTAGAATCCAGGACAGAAACACCACTGATCCAAACACAGGGATCACCATCTCCTCTCTGGTCCAATCAGGGGAAAAATTTGATCTTCTGAGGTCAGATCAGGAGGAGGCGCTTCCTGTAATCACAGATCCTTGTGTGTTCAACCGCCACTTCATCACTAATGTTTCAGTAGATCAAGTGACTTCCAGTACAGTCACCGTCTACTGGACCACCAGGGATCATCACCGCTACACACCAGGACCTGGGCCCGTCCTAGATGAAGTCCACTACCGGATTCTGTTTGACCGGTTTGGCACTCCAGATCGTTTCCCCCGCTATGTTTACACTCATGGTACAGCTCGCTCTGTAACCCTTCGAGAGCTCAACTCCGATGTGACCTACATGGTCTGCGTGGAAGGAGTAGTGGGGGGATCAGTGTGTCAAGTAGCACCCCGTGACCACTGTGCAGGGCTGGTCACTCTGCCTGAGGGGTTCAGCAGTGGAGGTGTGCTGACCTCTGACCTCCAGCTGGTGACGGTGGCCACGCTGGCCGGGAACGCTGTGCTTCTGCTTGTCATTGGCGGGGTCTGGCTGGGGCGGAGCCTTAAGAGGAGGTTTGAAAGGAGGAAGTCGGCCGTGCACGTGCGACACATGTATTCCACCAGGCGACCGTTTCGTCCCACCATGGCAACCGCCTCGGTGTCCACTGACTTCACCAGCTACCAGAGCAGTCGTCCAGCACGACTTGCACCCCTAGAGGAAGGGGACCTCATCGAGTTCCCTTGCGACCGCTTTATGGACAGCAGCAGTGTTCGCAGAAACAGTGACATGCAGAGATTCTCTGACTAGAGCCATAAAAACTACAAAATGACTGACACTGTACAACAGGAAGATATGTGAATCTTTGGCCTAGTCTTCAGAATACAGAAAACACAAACTCCCCTCTCTGGACACACTGCAGTGTTACATTAAAAACCTGGGTGTGTTTGTGGCTATGAACAAACCGAGTCGAGAACGCCACCATTTTATGTTTTGTTTTTGTCATTTGACCACAAGAAAACGTTGAAAGCGACAAAATTGCAGCTGAGCTCATCAGTGCCTTTCCAGACACCAGAGGAAGTCCAATCCCTCTGACTTCCTCTTCCTGCTTTGCGCCTTTCCTCTTTCATTTCCTTGCACCTGTGAGTGTTTCTAAATGTGTGATTGCAAGTGTGTAAGCATGAATGATTGATCACTGATTTCAACTACGGTGCTAAGATTGAGTTCATAGACATCATATTGTCTCACATTTGTACAGTTTGTAATGATGGCTGCTGGTTGGCAGGAATAATATCACTTGTTTTGTATCACATCTATTATGTTTTTATACTTTTTTTATATAATTTTGCATTACATGAAGAAGTAAAATCCCCAACAATGTGATTGATTTGTCATTTGAGTGTTTGTGGATGATTTACCTCTATAATAGATGTTATTCTATCTGTGGCTTTCAAATATCTTTTCTGTAAGCCACTGATTATGTAAAGCACAAGGGGATTATATTTCTAGACATAAGGGAACTATACGTAGAGTACTCTATATATACTGATAAAAATAGGATTATAATACACAAAGATTACTTGCATTAACCTCTTGAACTCCAGGTTGTGTTTCACTCTATTTTTACTCCTATGACTCTCAGACAGACAGAAATATCATTATTTGTGAGTGTTACATGTTTTAGTATACTTTTAAAAAAATCAAAATAGGTTACTTGCTATTCACTGGTAAAATTAGCTTTAACATATTTCTTTTATTTAAAAATATGCGACACTTAATGTAAACTTTTCCTCTGCAACCAATATTAGGTGCGTTAGAGAGAGACCTAAACAATGTGTGAGTGTGTGGAAGATAATAGCAATAGTATGTTAGAGAAGTAAGTGCGTGTGTGTGCATGTGTGTCCATGCTCCTGCATGCGTGTCATGATGAGGTCTGGCAATAGTTAAGCAGTGCCTTTGTTTGAGTAGACAGGGTGGAGTGCCTCCCACACTTAGTCCAAATCACGAACACACGCACAATCACACATGCAGACACACGCACACACACACACATTCACACAAAGTATTTTCATATCACCAATCAAGATGTCAGAACAGGAAACCTATATAAAGCTAATATTCTACACAAAAGAGCCACTATATACAGCTAGTACCAACATTAAGTCCTTAAGTTTGGGGCACTACTGATAAAAAAATGTATCAGACAGATTAAATGTTTAAATAAAAGCCAAAATGCAATTTTAAATGTTTTGTTGTGTATTATACATAAAGAAATACTTAAGTAAGTCTTACTTATTGGGCTAACATACAACAGGCTAGGATCTACTTTACTGACCACTCCAGTTATTATGGTCAGCTACCACTAACAACACCAGTCACTAGATGGCACACTAGACCATACTGTATGTACAGAAACAGACTGATAACTATAACCTCATTGCTCACAACCACTGGCTTACTGCGTCAAAATAATGCTGACTGATATCATCAGATTTTAAAAGGATATTACAAACACAAGGAAAATAGCAGAATAAGTGTTTTTATTAACTGACAAGGATTGAGACATGAGGTGCAGTTTATAGTTATTTAGTTTCTTAGGGCAGTTAGAAAAAGGTGCCTGAAAGAAAATACTGTACAATAATTTTTTTAATGGCTTTCCAAGACAGATGTGGGGTTGCTTCGTAATCTCAAAATAGACATTTCATTTTTGCCATAGCATGAATTATTTGTAGAAAAATACATAGTTTTGACTCTGCATCCAAGAAAAGGCATAACAAAGGTATGTACTCACAGATGCTCAGTTAGAAATATATATATATACATATATATATAGGCTTTGTTTTTTCTAAATTAGTGCAAGATATAAGAGCAAAGGGTACAGAAAAGATGTGTTATGATTGTGTATGTGCACAGTCAAGGGCTAGCAGGCAATGGTTAGATTGATGTGAACAGAAACAGACATTTTCTGAATTAACACAGGATCCAGTTGCCATGTAACCATCACAGTTTTTAACAAGGCTTTCAGGAAAGGTCATTTTTGCACCTGTTATGGAAATGTACCAGTATGTGGTTCTGGTCTTTTCTCCAACCAGAAAAGATGATAATAATGTTGAAAAATACCTCAGTGTTCACATGCATTTTTGAATTCACCTATCCAGTTCAGTATTTCATCTACAATGAGACACAGATCCACAGCTGAGTGAGACTTTAGTGTGGTTATGACAGTAGGATAATTCAGTCTGGTAGGATTCAGCCACACAAGTCCCTACCCCCTCCTCTATATGGCGAGGGCTAGGGTCCAGGCTGGGGGTCGTGCCCTGTGTCGCCTCCAGCTGCCGAGGAGGTGGAAATGCTGTTGTGTTGGATGGCCTGCAAATGAGACCCAGGACCTACAGTGGTGGGACTTCCTCCTGGGCTCATCCCTGCAGCTAGACACAGAGACAGCTGTCAATCAAAGTCACTGATCTGTGACTGATTGTCCGTTCTTTAAGTGGGGTTTGTGACCATATACATGCAAATGAATGAAAAACCCACTACAGCTCAGATTAAAGGAAAATATCTCTTTTATTTTAACAAATACAGGTAAAAAGACAACAATAGAAATATACGATATATAACACATGCCAATATTGCATCCATCTTTGTTCTCTCAAGCTCAAAACTTAAAACATAATGGCTGCTTTCTTTTAAGCCACAAGGTGCAGTATTTGTTCAAGATCTTTAATTTTAAGTCACATACAGGTTCAATTATTGTTGAACTTTATCTTTAGCCTGCCTGGAGTGCAAGATGGGCATGTTCTGCATTTTGTTGCAAGCTAGCTTCGTGCAAGGCAAAACAGCCAGTGCCAGGATATTGCATTGCACTCCAGAGTATTTCAAATACCATCAAGGTCTGGTTCATTAAATGAGTATGAAAATGGCAATGAAAAATATATTCCTTTAAATGGAGAGTTAAGAGTGCAATGCTTTCCCCTGATTGGCTCTCCATGGGAATAAAAGTGCATGTACCAATATTTGGAGACTGTGGGGTTAAAAGCAGAGTTTTTACTCTTTAAGTGCTGTTTAGTTGCACTCTGCAAGAAACAGTTTAAGGTCCCTGTGTGTGCTGAACGGTGGTTTGTCATAACACGACAAAATGTAACCATGGGGTGTTCCCTTACGTGCACATACAAGGTATGAGTTATACCCTCAGTGGTGGATGGAGATGATTGGTGTCAGGCATCTGGGAAAGCTGGTGAGATTTCTAGAGAAGGGGTGCAGGGTAGTGGGGTTTTACTCACTGGGGTACCCCTGTGCCTCTCTCTGCCGGGCAGTGACAGGACAGTCCTTGTGGGTGAGCAGAATCTGCTTCAGTTGACCCACCTCCGACCGCAACGACGTCACCTCGTTCTGCAAACACAAGGAAATAATAAGTATCCCTGAAGTGCAGATTGTGTGTGTGTGTGTGTGTACTTGTCAGAGCGTGTCCCACCTGTAGCTGCAGGTTTGTATGCGTCAACTCCTCGGCTTTCTTCTCCAGTGACGACACCCATAGTTTCCTCTTCTGTCGGCAGCGGGTGGCTGCAGCGCGGTTACGTTCCAGAAACTTCTGCCTGCGTTCGTCTGGGTCATGCTCTGCCGTCCTCCTGCGACGGCCGCTGCCTCCTCCTCCTCCGCCACTGCAGCTACCACCTGCCTGCACTGCATGCTGGGAGTGGGATGGCTGCATCTGCTGTGATACTGGTGATAACTGCAAACAAAAATCAAACATTTTAAGAGTAACCCCACTGTGCCTGAATGCATATATTTGAGTGTTGCTTGTAACATCTCAGAGCTAAACAGTAAATATAAGACATCGCACCTGTGCTGGAACAGACAGGGGAGGTGCAGGAGGCGAGCCCTGGTGCAGGTGGGGAGGCGGTGACTGGTGAGCCTGAGCGTGCGGTACATTCGCTGACTGGTGAATCTGGTGGCTGTGGGCGCTTCCCAGATGCTGCGGAGGTGGAGCATGGCATCGCGTTTGGTAGGTTAGGGGGGGAGCTGGAAGCTGATGATGATGAGGAGGATGATGGTGGTGTTGTAGCGGAGGCGCCTGATGACGCTGCGACATCATCTCCATCATGTGGCCCATGGATGTTACAGGGTTGTTGATGGCAACCATTCCTGGGTGGTGCTGTTGGAAATGATGCCCCAGCGCTTGTTTGGATCTCTGAGTGGAGATAAAAAGATAAAATATATATATATATGTATATATAGTTATATATATATATATATATATATATATAACTATATATATATGTATATGTGATGTGCTGAACAAAGCAAACTTTTTCTACTATTGAAAAGTTGAAAAGAAGAATGAAAAGAAAATTCTTTGAGCATTATTTAGGCTGTGAGCCAGTTCTTAACTCACAGAGGAAGGAGAGTTGTACCCGTCATTTCTTTAGGAAAGATAAACACAGTGGAGCCTCAGTAGTTGACGTTCTCATTATAACTTATTTTCACATCCTCTCATCTGAACTGCACATTCCTTCTGAGTTCATTATGGCTTCTAGGAAAGTTACAGACAACCACATTCAAGTATCACAATATCTGAAGGACCTGGTATAAGAGGACAGAGGCAGATGAGCGTTTGCATCTGTTTTTCAAATCCCCAAGTGCATGCTGGGATATGTAGGTCCAAGAAAGCCCCCAGGGACACTAAATAGGAGCAGGTTGTGGCAAATGAAATTTAGTTTCTAAATGTTAGTGAGAAGATTTAACACTAAATAACTAAAGACTATGGCCATACAAATTCTTCCAACCTCCAATGCCAGTGTATGTCTCTTAATAAGGAATGGCCACATCAGAGGCCCTTTCATGCTCAGACTTAAGATAGGACTGTCGTTAGCAAGGTCTCATGTCCCTGGATGCAAAAAAAGGCCTACAAACATATAGAATGAAGCACTGAGAAGATTGGCAACACCTGCCTGGATCAAAATGCTTTTTCACTCTCCAAAACTCTCCTCTACTTTCCGTACTCTTCAACATCACACTTGAACTCCTGACTAGATACCATAACTCTTAAAACACATTTAAATTTTCTCGCTAACTTCAGTAAACTAAGAAAAAAGTCTATTGGAGACAATCAGTACAGTATGTACAGTAAGATTGTACTAGAATATTTAAGCCAGAACTGGTATTTTATAAAAATATAGGTTGTAAAATTCAACACCTTTTATATGTATGACTTATTCCAATTTAATCCTCTATTTATACCACCACAGGGTTATTAAACCATGTATGAGCTGATGTGTTAAACTAAACACTATATATGAACAGCTTGTGATTACAAATAAACATTTTCCATCTATCGCATAGTGGGTGGGGTAAGTTTGACACCAGCTAAATTAGTAACAGCAGAT